TGTCTACACCAAGAGGCAAAAAGTCTCCACTTGAAAACATATAAGCGTCTCGTGGAGGGAGCCCTAGAATTTATAATAGTGTCGGTAATCTCAGCCGAGAGACCAGAACACATTAGCGTACTCCGCTCAGGGACCACACCCATAACCTCCATAAATCCGGTCGAGGATGCCAAATCATGCGTCAACAGATCGTGTCTGAGGGGAACCTCCCATGGAGGAACCACGACTGAGTGGGCCACCACGGGGCCACCAGCAGCAGGTGCTCCACTTTGTCTGATCGTATTCTGAACAGAACTGCTGGGAGCAACCGGATTGGGGGAAAAGCATAAAGATTGGTCCTGGGCCATTTGTGGGCCAGAGCATCCAGACCTAGAGGCGACGGGGGAGACAGGGAAAACCAAAGCGGGCAGTGCGTAGTCATGCTCGAAGTGAACAAGTCCACTTCCGCTCGGCCGAACCTCTGCCATATAAGATCCACCACCTGGGGGTGCAATCTCCATTCCCCATCCTCCAGACTCTGAGCATCTCCAAACGATTTATGTGCCAGCCACGATGTACCTCTGTCCAGACTCCACCAACTGGACATCCTTGATGGACCGCTCCCAAGCCCGTAAGGGACACGTCTGTAGTGACCGTCTTGCGGCGACACAACGTCCCCATCTGGACTCCCTCCAGAAGGAACTGGGGTCTCATCCACGGGCTTAGAGTACGAAAGCCCTTGCGTGTCACCGTAAATCTGTGAAGCGGGTGACAGTGATGTGAAATGTTCTGGCTGAAACGGTCGCATGTGAAGCAGGCCCAACTGAACTACAGGGGCCGCCGCCGCCGCCATCAGACCCAACAGCCTGAGACACAAGCCTACGTGTACTCGGCGCCCTGTCTTGAACTGACCTAGACAGGTCCGTTAATTGACAGTCACCACTGATAAGCTACCACTAAATATTGTAGAAACTTAATTTGCTGTAAAGTTGCTTTGCAATGATTTGTATCGTGAAAAGCGCTGTACAAATAAACTTGACTTGACTTGTCCGTCCTGACTAACACATGATAACCCCTCAACTGGGATAAGAACTGTTTGAGAGCCAGGAGAACATCAAGCATCTCCAAACGATTTATGTGCCAGCCACGATGTACCTCTGTCCAGACTCCACCAACTGGACATCCTTGATGGACCGCTCCCAAGCCCGTAAGGGACACGTCTGTAGTGACCGTCTTGCGGCGACACAACGTCCCCATCTGGACTCCCTCCAGAAGGAACTGGGGTCTCATCCACGGGCTTAGAGTACGAAAGCCCTTGCGTGTCACCGTAAATCTGTGAAGCGGATGACAGTGATGTGAAATGTTCTGGCTGAAACGGTCGCATGTGAAGCAGGCCCAACTGAACTACAGGGGCCGCCGCCGCCGCCATCAGACCCAACAGCCTGAGACACAAGCCTACGTGTACTCGGCGCCCTGTCTTGAACTGACCTAGACAGGTCCGTATTGACTGCACACGTGCGGGAGACAGCCGTGCCCGCATCGTTTAAGAGTCCAAGTCCACCCCCAAAAAGGTTGTTTGCTGACACGGCAGCAGGACACTCTTTTGAAGGTTCGTCCGTA